GCTGGGGAAGCAGGACCGGGCTCAGGTCACCAGGAGCCGACCTGGGACTGATGTCCCCAGCCACCGTAAAGCCACCGAGGGACCCCCCCCCAATTGGGAACACCTCGTTTCCCCACCACGGAGCTGCAGGTCAAGGGGCTCCCAAGCCCTGCCCGTGAATTTGGGGTTTGCTTTTCCCTCCCGGCTCCAAGAGCAGCAGCCGGGCCTCGCCAAGCGGATTAACGCTGCACGCGCTTCGCCAAATTCCTCACCGGCTTTAGCTCCCCAAACCGCCCCGCCGGCTCGGCCGCAAAAATTGGGTGAGAAACCAGAATTTCTGAGCAAGTCGGGCTCAGCCCGGAGCCGTGCTGCATCCTCCGGGGTCATCGATGTGAATCCTGACGACACGCATCAGTCCCAGCCTGGCTGCTGAGCAGGGATGCTGGGACTTGGGATGAGAAATTATGTTAATTGAGTTTATTATCCATTCATGTGTTCCCATCCCGGGGGCACGGCGGCGTGATGCCGGCGTTAGATCCTCTCTCTGCGGCGAAGTTTCATGCTCCAGTTCCTCATCTGCTGGGGAGGAGGGGGGAGAGCCACAACCCCACGGGCTTCAGAAGGGCAAAGCTCGGTCCCGAGAGCTGTCAGACCGGGGATGCAGAGCACAGAGCACGGGGGGTTTGCATCCTCCCAGGCGCTTTTGCTTCAAACCAGCCCCAGAGTTTGTTTTTAAGCATTTGTGGGGCTCTGAAACGCATCAGATATTCACCGGCACTTTGGCTACTGCCTCTGCTTTCCCTGGGATTTGAGAAATGCTATTTTTAACTTCATTTCCCGAATTTGTGATGTATTTTAAGTATCCTCGTGTGGACATCCCGCTCCAGCCCTGGAGATCCGTGTCAAGACAATCTGTGCATGAGCTGCTGCTCCGGTGGCCGGAGGAGCTTTAGTGCACAGGCTGCGAGTGCTGGCAGCCGTCCTGCCTCCCAAAATATCCGTGGGGGTGTGCCAGCCCCTGCAGCTAACCCCACCCCGCTCTCCGCAGGGCTCGGTGGATTGCCCCAACCTGGAGTTCGAATACGGGGATGCCGACGGCCACGGCGCCGAGCTAGCAGGTGAAGCGGCGTTTGGGTGCTGCGTTGCCATTAATAGATGCCCGTCGGGGTGGAAAAAAAAAAAAAGATCCCTCGGGGGAGTTGGGCGAGCTGGATGGGGGATGGATATCGAGTGGTATCATCCTGGCGATAACAGAGCGAGAGGATTTATTAATAGCGAGCCGCTCGCTCCCCAGGGATGAGCACGAGGGGTGGCAGGGGCACAGGGATTACCCCACGCTCCAAATTATCCGGGACACGATGACAGGCGTGCAGGGGATGGGAGGACGGGTGGCATGCCTGGTGGCACAGTCCCAGGCTGGGAAGTGTCACCCTTTATCGTGGGTGTCACAATGGGTCATGTCTTCATCCCATATCTTCCTGCCGTGCAGCGACTCCGGCTGCTGCTGCCCTGCAGCCCTCGGGGTCCTGAGCACATCTCGACCAGCAAAAGGTTTATTTTTAGCTCCATGTGTGTCTCAGCTGCACAAGCTGGCCTGGATAAAAAACATTTTTCTTTGAGGGATCCTTCTTCCACTCTTGCAGGACTGTTTCAGCCCCCCACGGTGTTGCTCAGCACCGTAGGACCTATAGGAATTCTATAGGAACGGGCAGGAAAACAGGCGCAGCATCGTGTCCTCCCAAATCCAGCTCGTATTTGCCAGTCCCAAAATATCTGAGCTGCTGGGTGTGAAATCAGTGCAGGTCTTGCCCACGTGCTCCTTTTGTAAACTGGCTTAACTGGGACAGAAAATTACCCCTTCCCCAAAGAAAACCCCCCCTATGAAATTGCATCTCGAGCGCTGTGGCTGTGGGCAGGAGCATGGGAACAGCCCAGCCCGGAGGCAGGGAGGGAAATTATGGATTTGGGAGTGTTGGGTGGCTCCAAGATGCCCCTTGGGGCTGCAGAATCGCTGAGGGGTAAGCTCAGGTCTCTGCCCCACGTCTCCTCGGGTGCGTAGGGATGCTTCAGGGTCCCACAGGGAATTTGGTGATGGTGAGGAGGGTGAAACCCCTCAGGGTCCCCACTGACCCCTTTCTCCATCAGAGCTGTACAGCTACACGGAGGAGCCCGAGCTCAGCACCAACCGGAGATGCTTCGAGGAGGATTTTCACGCTCAAGGTACCAGCTCTGGGCTCAGGACCCCGGGGTGAGCGGGGGACGCCCTGGGAGGCACGCAGCTGGTTGTCGTGTCCCTTTTCCAGCGCAGGGCAGGAGGTGGCTGGAGCTGGACGGGGCTCAGCAGAAGGCTTACGTCATGCGCCTGCTGGATGGGCTGGAGGTGGTCAACAGGGACAAGCGGCTCAAAGTGGCACGAGCCATCCTCTACCTGGCGCAGGGTAAGGACCACATCCCCCGGGGCTGGATGTGGCCACGAAATCCACTGCCTGGATTTGGCGTGGGAGCTTGGGAGAAGCCTTCTCCTGGAGTTGTGCTGGGTGGGTGCAGTGAAGCTCCTTCCTGGGATGGCCCCGTGTGCTCCAGGGGTTCAAAGGCAGCTTCCCCATGACCACTGCCTCCCTTTGGGTCCCTCCAGGTGTCTTTGGAGACTGTGATAACGAAGGCGACGTCCTGCACTGGTCTCGGCACAACAGCTTCCTCCTGTACCGGCTGGGAACCTTTACCGCCTTCCTGGAGCTCCTCAACATGGAGATCGAGTGAGAGGACCTCTGCTCTCATCCTCCTCGCCCTCCTTGTCCTCTTCTTCATCTTATTCTTCCTCCTCGCTCTCACTCTTCTCTTCTTCATCTTCTTTCTCTCCGTCCTCCATGTCCTCCTCACACTTCTCTTCTTCATCTTCTTCCTCACCCTCCTCTTTGCCCTCTTCACCCTCCTCTTCTTCATATTCTTTCTCTTCACCCTCCTCTTCTTCATCTTCTTCCTGCCCATTCTCCTCATCTTCCTCACCCTCCTTGTCCTCTTCTCCATCTTATTCTTTCTCCTCGTCCTCCTCACCCTCCTCTTCTTCATCTTCTTCCTCCCCATCACCATCCTTGTCCTCTTCTTCATCTTATTCTTTGTCCTGCCCTCCTCACCCTCCTCTTCTTCATCTTCTTTCTGCCCATCCTTCTCGCCCTCTTCTCTCTTCCTCCTCCTCACCGAGGACCAGGGAGGTGCCGCAGCCACAGCACGTCCCCCAGCGCGGTGTTTCCCCCGCTGCAGCCATAGGCTGGGGATCGGGACGAGGGGCAGCCTGTGCTCGGTGGCTGGTGCTGAGCTCATCCCCTTCCCCGGTGCTGAGCTCGTCCCCTTCCCCGCAGCAACAGCCAGGCCTGCAGCAGCGCCCTGAGGAAGCCGGCCATCTCACTGGCCGACAGCACGGAGCTCAGGTACCTCCTCAGCCCCCCACTAGCACGTCGGATGGAGGCTGTGGGACAGCCTCTTGGGGACAAAGTGGCCTCTGTCTGGCAGTGTCACCTGCCTGCTGTGCTGTCCCTACAGGGTGCTGCTCAGTGTCATGTACCTGATGGTGGAGAACATCCGTGTGGAGCAGGAGACAGATCCCCCCGAGTGGAAAACCTGCCGGGAGACCTTCAGGATGGAGCTGAGTGAGCCCTAGAGTTCACTGTGCCCTAACGAGGTCCCTTCGTCGTGCAGGTCCCGGGGGGAGACCTCAGGGACCGGGGAATCTGCTCTGAACCTGCTCCTGGTCCCTCTCTCCACCAGGTTTCCCCGTGCACACTGAGGAGCCCTTTGCTCTTCTGCTCTTCACGATGGTGACCAAGTTCTGCAGCGGGCATGCTCCACACTTCCCCATGAAGAAGGTCCTGCTCCTGCTCTGGAAGGTGCTTCTGGTGGGTGCAAACCCTTCCTTTTTCCAGAAACCGGTCACTGTGGGACTAGTGCTGTCCTGGTTTGGGCTGGGACAGAGCTCACTCTCTTCCCAGCAGCTGGTGTGAGGCTGTTTGGGTTTGTGCTGAGGAGAAGCTGATCACACACTGATGGGCAGAGCTGCTGCCAGGACAGTCAAGAACTTCCCAGCTTCTCTGCTGTGCCCGTGTCTGCAGGGGCAGGAGGAGCTGGGAGGGAGCACAGCCCCAGTGACCAGCCCAGGATTCCACCTCAGGGTTAGGACTGAGACCAAACAGGCTGATGGTCTGTTCCATCTCTGTCTGGAAGTTCTTGCTCTTGCCCCGCGTTGTCTCCCTTTGGGTCACTCGTCTCCCAGGGTCGTCTCAGTCTCTCAGACACTCGGGCTCTTATCTCTTTTCTGGGATTGTGGTTTTGGGACTCTCCCTGCTCCGGGATCATTGGCTGGGAACAGGCTGAGCCTTGGGCATGGGGTGGAGAGCAGTGTCACCGTGTGTCACTCATTTGTATATATTGCTATTATTATCATCATTATTATTATTTCCAATATTATTGCAGTTTAGTTATTAAATTGTTCTTATATCAACCAATGAGTCTCTTTTCCCTTCATCCCTTTAATTCTCTCTCCATCCCCGGGAGGGTGAGCGAGCGGCTGCCTGGTGTAAAACTATGACAAGCGCTGATGCAGCCTGGATGTTCCCCACTACTCAGTCCAACAATAACAGAGTGATTTAGGATGGCACGAGAGGCTGACATGGCAAACAGCTTCTTCTGGGACAAGAGCGGGCTGAGCCATGGGACATGGGGTGGGAGAGAATGGAGAACGAACCAGTGATGTGGTTTCTTCACCGTCAATTCTGCAGGTTGATGGCCTCAAACTGCTGCTCCACTGGAAGCCCAGAAGAGCCATGCAGTCCAGGTGGGATGTCTGCTCCCTGCTCTCTCACCTCTCTCTTTGCTCCCTAGTTCACGCTGGGTGGATTTGAAGCCCTGCAGGCGATGAAGGTGAGGAAGCGGGAGGAGCTGGGGCTGCCGCCCTTGCCGGAGGACAGCATCCAGGTGATGCGCAGCATGCGCGCTGCTTCGCCCCCCACCTACTCCATCGAGCTCATGGAGCAGCAGCAGCAGAAGCGTGGCCACCGCAGCCGGCGGGTGAGAGCAGACACATCCTCCTGGCATGTGGCCCAGGACGGTCCAATGGGGACCGTCATTCGTTCAAGGAGCCAGGCTGTGGTCAGGGACATGTCCCCCTTTCCCCCAAGTCTTCCTGTATTTTCCAGTTTCACAGAATGGTTTGGGTTGGAAGGG